CCCACCCCCCCCGGGGGCATTTGCATCTCTGTGCGGAGTTGGAGCTGCAGGAGTGTAACCCCACGGCCTGGATGTCAGCACCTGGGCTCCGGGGCAGCCCTCTGGAGAAGCCGGGAGGAGCCACAACCCCAGAATCCCAAGGCCACCTCGGCAGCCCTCCCTGGGGTTTCCTAAGGACCCGGTTTCCTCCACACTGATAACCACACCGACCTCCTCAAGAGCTGGCAATATGCTGCTGGCTCCAGGCGCCTGAATGAGACTTACAGCCCAGAACCAGCTCCATCCTTTATACGCCTGTCAAGGAGCCACAGGAACATCCCTGGCAGCTTCAAAGGACCTAGAACCAGGATCTAAAACACATCTCGCCACCAGGGGGCAGAGTCCAGGGGCCACTGCTTCAAAACCAGAGGTGATTTATACTGGAGGCCGCTGGCTCTGCTAAGGATCTAAAGCAGTGGTCGGCAAACTGCGGCTCGCGAGCCACATGCGGCTCTTTGGCCCCTTGAGTGTGGCTCTTCCACAAAATACCTTCTTCCTGTGGGCTGTGTGAGCTCCATGCTTTCCCAGACCACATGACCTTGGCCTGCAGCCCCCAGAAGGACCCTCTTTAAGTCCCCCCACATGACAGCCCCAATCCTCAGCTCTCCAACCCCAGCACCACCATGCAGACATCCTAGCAGTCCATCATGTGTCCACCAACTGGGGGCAGGAACCTGAGTCACCCATGTCTGCCATGTGGGGGTCACGGTCAACAATATCACAGAATTCTGAGGGTCCTGTCTGGCCCCCAGGCTAGGAAGGCCCAAGAAACCAAAGGCAAAGACAGGGGACAACTCATCAGATCCTCCTACAGGGCACGCAGCCGGGCTCTGGGGTCCTTCACTCCCACCCTGCTCAGCTCCACCCCAGCTCCCTGCTTCCAACACGCTTCCTCCTGGCTCCCGACCCACCACACCACCAGGTTCCAGGTGCACTCGGCACCGACGGGCTTCTTTTTCTGATCTAACTCTGGCTGTCAAGGCTGAGGCGATGCTGATAGTGTTCGTGGTGTCGCCAGACCCTCATGAGCAAGTCTCTCTCTCTCTCTCTCTCTCTCTCTCTCTCTCTCTCTCTCTCTCGACATCTGTGAGCACCTGACTTCTTTCCTCCGTGTGTGTCCGCACCCCCGTGCTGGAGGCTCCTCCAGGGCCGGGGTAGCGTTTTCCTCTTCAGTCTGGAATCTGTCTGAGACAGATTTGGCATCTTCCCATGGCCCGCAGCCCAGTGTGCCAATCTGAAGGGACTTCGAAAAGGACACGGAGTGACAGGCAGATGGACGGCAGCCGCCGCCCCCTCTCAGCCCTTCCAGGGTTTTCTACGGGTCCCACAGGCCCTGTGTTCACTCCTGTCACTCCACCAGCGGGCCCCCTCGGCCCTCTAAGACAGTCTGGGCTACAGCCACTCGGGGAGGGGAGCTGGGCATGCTCGGCCCATTGGGCTCGGCCCAGAAATCGGCTTCGATAAAGGGCCAGTGAGAAGCTACGGCTTCTGGCAGGGCTCCGTCCCTTCTGCCACATCCCCACTGCAGTGCGGCCCAGTCCCGGGTGGGAAGCCCCAGCGCAGAGGGTCTTGGGACCTGCCTGGGGCTGCCCCGTGACCTCGTGCTGTCACAGGAACTAGAAGACAGTCCTGGGGCCTCGCCACAAGGAGGGGGGCCCCCTCTCTCCCAGGCCGTGCTCAGCTGGGGGCTCACCCAAGCGGGGCCCAGCCCTCCCCTCCCATCCATCACCTCTGGCTCTCACACCCCCTTCTTGGAGACAGGGTTCGTGAGGGATTGACAAGCTCTGCAGCCAACCAGGATCCCAGCCCAGGGAAGAGAAGGCAGCAGGTGAGCCGACGTGCAGACAGGCCATGGGAACCCAGAGTGAGAGGAGGAGCCGCCAGGCCTCTGGGGATGCCGCCAGCCTGGCTCGGCCCATGGACAGGGACCAAGTGTGAAAAGCTCTGTCCCAGGGGTGGGTGTGCCTCTGAGCTCGGAGTGGAGCCAATGCCGAGCCTGCAGGAACCACAGTGTCGGGGTGCACACAGGGCTAGAGGCAGACACATTTGAGCAGCTCGACTGGGAAGTGAGAAACCCCGGTTGGAGGCACTGGGGGCCGGACACAAAGCAAAGGAGGAGCCCCATCCCTGACTCAAAACAGCTCTCAGCAGCCGCTGATGCCTGCCCCCATTTCTCCACTAGAGCTCACACCTTCACAGCCTCTCCAGGACCCCTGAGGGGAGTTCAGATGTCCCCAGAGTCCTTCTGGACCGTAGTGATGTGATATTGTGATTTATGATAAGAAAGACATATTTGGTCTTAACACCCTATTTCTGGCACAGAGCTCCCAAAACCCTCGGAATTTCCTAAGTGATGAGGGCGGTAAAGGTGCCTTTTGTTGTATTAATGAGGTGACCAGGAGAGCGAGACCATGTGATTAGAGGGTGGGAACTTTCAGCCCCACGATCCCCCCACTTTCCCAGCCACCCCATCCTCCAGGGAGGAATGAGGGGCTAGAGATTGAGTTTAATCACCAATGACCAACGATTTAATCATTCTTGCCTGTGTAATGGAGCCACCATAAAAACCCCAAAGAACAGGAACCGAAGCCGTCTGGGCTGGTGAACGCACAGGAGGAGATGGGGGAGAGTGGTGGGCCTGGGAGGCACGGAAGCTCCTGGCCCTCTCCCCACCTTGCTCTCTGCACCTCTTCATCTGGCTGTTCCTACGCTACATGCTTTTACAATAACCCAGGGATCTAGGAAGTAAAATGGGCCTCTGGGTTCTGTGAGGCGCTCTAGGAAATTAACTGAACCCAAGCACAGGGTCGCTGAAACTTCGAATCTATAGCCAGTTGGTCAGAAGCACAGGTGACCACCTGGACTTGTGACTGGCATGGGGGGTGGAGGGGGGCCGTCTTGTAAGACTGAGCCCGTAACCTGTATAACTGAGTCTATTCAAGTCCCCTGAGAGTTTGGGAGATGCACCCTCTGATGCATGTCCCCACTTGGACATCGATTCCCTGTGTGACTTCAGTCACCCTCTCTCTCTAGGTCTCACAGTGATGCCATTCAGAGCCCTGCTCAGACTGGCCACTTCTGATTCACCAAGCCAGCCAGGAGCCTACACACACACACACACACACACACACACTCACACTCACTCACACTCACACTCATACTCATAGACACACACTCACACCCATAGACGCTCACACTCATCTACTCATACACTCACACACACGCTGTCACATTCACACACTCGCATACGCTCACACCCATACACACACTCCATGGGGCAAGGTAGCCCCACTCTGTCTGAAATAACTCAGCCCAAAACCGCCCACCGTATCCCACCCCCTGAGACGCCACAGGGAGGAAGCTTTACCAAATCGATCATTCCCCCAGGGCATCCTGGGAGGCTGGCCCTAAGGGAAGGTCAGGAATTCCACTGACCAGGAAGAGAGAACCCTGCGGGGTATATTTAGCTCACTCAAAATAGCAGGAGGCGAGAGTTGAGGGCTGGAAATTGTCTGGGAGAACTGGGAGAGCACTGGGCAGGCTGGGGGAGGGGCGGGAGGACAATGGAGGAAAGGAAGGGGTCTGACAGGTCCGGGTGCCAGGGGAGAGGGATGTCTGTCTGTCTCCCTTCCCTTGTGATCTGTGACCCAGATGACTCAGCTTTTCTGGATCTGGAGAAGGAGGTTGGGTGGTGAGAAAAGCTGCCAGGGAGACTGGGGTGGGGATACCCAAGGATGCGGGGAGCTTGGGAAGACATTGGTTTCTAGTGAAAAACCAACCCCAGGAAGGAACCCAGGGCAGCCAAGCTGGTGTGAGCCAAGGATGACTGAGCCTGCAGGTGGGACCAGGCTGCCTGTGGACCCCCTCCCCTCCCTTCCAGCCCAGAGCCCTCCCAGGTACCCTGAGCCCTGGTGGGCAGGCCCAGACCTGGCTGCTGGGAGCTGGAGTCACACAGCTCTGGGGTCAGAAAGGCAAGGCCTCGGCCCGGAAACGGGCCTGTGCAGAGGCTCCGTGAGCACTTACCCCCGTGGGCTGCTTCTTGGTGTCCAGCAGCGGGGCATTGAAGCTGGCAGACAGGCTGGGGGTGGCGAGGACCTCCCGGAGTGGGATCTTGGCTTCCCCCAGGAACCTGAGAGGAGGGAAAAGTAGAATCTAGAAAACTAGCCTGTGCCCGGCTCGTCTCTCACCACACCCCTCACCACCACCACTGATGGGGAGCATAAGACATTTTGGGGGCTAGCAATCTGAATTTGTCCCAGCAACCTGCTTTCTACTGCACTCTCTTGCTAGCCGATAATTAACTCCATTTGTGAAAGAATGTAGGAGACTAGCAGCGGACTCTGTACCTAAGTGAATCAATGTTCCTAAGGCACATTCATGTTAGCCTATAGTCTAGTCCAGTGGTTCTCAACCTTGGCTGCACATTAGAATCACCTGGGAATCTTTTTAAAATCCTGATTTCTGGGCCTCATCCTCCGGAAATTCTGTTTCTTCGTTACTAATGTTGTGGCCCCACCCCATAACAAAGAAACAGAATTTCCGGAGGATGAGGCCCAGAAATCAGGATTTAAAAAAGATTCCCAGGTGATTCTAATGTGCAGCCAAGGTTGAGAACCACCGTCTTATAAGAACTCTTGTGATTATATTGGTCCCACCTGGATAATCCAGGATACTCTCCCCATCTGAAGATCCTCAACTTAACTACACCTGCAAAGCCTCTTTTGCCACATCCTATGTAATCCTATATAATAAAAGGCTAATATAGAAATATATAAGGAGAAAATCTCATTGTCTAAGTTGTTCAGGATCTGGGTCTTAGGGTCCCCTAAACCAGCAGCGCTGCTTTGAATAAAGGCTCTTTCCTGAACCCCAGAGTGTCCAACTGTCCCTTCCTCGCCAATTCCATAAATTCCATGTTCCATAACACCACCACCACACAAACCACACAGACAAGCTGATCTGCCTAGAACGCCAGAGTCCCTTAGGACCCCTCCTCCTAGTCACCCCATCATCATCCCTGGAGGGCCAGGCCCCTCTCCCTGCACAAGAGGGACACCTTCCCTTCCCCCAAGGTCAACTTTGACCCCTTTCTGCCCCTCCCCAGAGGCCCAGCCCTCCACCCCTGTCGGCCTGGGTGCCCCACAGAAGGGCTTGTCTTGGCCCTCAGACCTCAGCAATCCACCACGTGGGCGTCTCCTAAAGCAGGGGCAGTCCCTCAGCACATCTGCATTGCTCCCAGGCCTCAGCAGCACACTGACCCAGTCTACACAGGACTCCTAGAGCTTGGCCAGCAATGATTATACATGAAAAACAAACAGGCCGTCCTGTCTCTGAGGGCAGCCCATGACGGTCACACCTCACACACCAGAGGCCGCAGCTCTCACTGAGGGGAGGGGGCCCCATACACAATGGGCTCTTAGGAATCAGTAGGTCACCACGCGATCCTCAGTGAAGGGCCCTTCAAAGAACACCAGGGAAAGCGGTTATGTTCCGTAAGCTATGAAAGGGGCCAACAGCATTCCGCAGTGGCAGAAGGACAGCAAGTGGCCTGTGTCCACCGCGACTGCGGCCTGGTGCTTGCCCTGAACTTCTGCGCGCCTCCTGCACACAGCCCAGGCACTGCCACGGGTGTCCTCTCATCTTCTGCTTTTTCATTTTCTTTCCTCGTGAATAAATAGCACATCTGGTCTCTGTAACAACTGATTTGAATATGGGTTTTTATAATCTCAGGAGATGAAATTTTAATCTTGACCTAATTAGCTGATGATATTTTTTATCCTCACCCAAGGCTGTGTTTCATTGATGAGAGAGAGAGAGAGAGAGAGAGAGAGAGAGAGAGAGGGAGAGGTGCTTCTCTCAGTGTAAGAGAGAAGCACCTATCAGTTGCTTCCTGTCCGTACCCCAACCAGGGATCAAACCTACAACCTTTTGGTATATGGACATTCCAACCAATGGAACCACCCAGCCAGGGCTAATTAGCTGATTTAGGGGGAGGGAGGGAGGGAGGGAGGAAGGAAGTGGGGAAGGAAACTACAAATGTTGTTGAAGCTGTGGAGAAATTGGAACCCTGTGCACTGTGAGTAGGAATGAAAAGGAAGGAAGGAAACTACAAATGTTGTTGAAGCTGTGGAGAAATTGGAACCCTGTGCACTGTGAGTAGGAATGAAAAAGGTGCAGCCACTGTGGAAAACAGTACAGTGGTTCCTCGAAAACTGAAAAATAGAACTACAATCTGACCCAGCAACTCCACTTCTGGTATTTACCCAAAGAATTTAAATCAGGGACTCACAGAGATATTTGTCAGCCCACCTTCACAGTAGCATTATTCACAATAACTAACGGGTGGGAGCAACCCAAGAGGCTATCTATCAGCAGATGAATGGATAAATAAAATGTGGCAGATACATACAATGGATCGTTATTCAGAGTTAAAAAGGAGAGGAATTCTGACATCTGCTACAAGGGGGGGGGGGGGGGAACGAGGACATTATGCTAAATGAAATAAGACAGACACAAAAGGGTAAAAATTGTATGACTCTACTTACATGAGATACCTAAAGTAGGAAGTTTTTATTTTTTTATTTTTTAAATATATTTTATTGATTTTTTACAGAGAGGAAGGAAGAGAGATAGAGAGTTAGAAACATCGATCAGCTGCCTCCTGCACATCTCCTACTGGGGATGTGCCTGCAACCCAGGTACATGCCCTTGACCGGAATCGCAGAATTGAACCTGGGACCTTTCAGTCCGCAGGCCGACGCTCTATCCACTGAGCCAAACCGGTTTCGGCAAGTAGGCAAGTTTTTAGAGACAGGAAGTAGAATAGCAGTTATCTGGGGCTGAGTAGAAAGGAGGAAGAGGGGCTAAAATTTAGTGAGTACAGAGGGTCAGTGTAGAGCAGTGATGGCAAACCTTTTGAGCTTGGCGTGTCAGCATTTTGAAAAACCCTAACTTAACTCTGGTGCCCTGTCACATATAGAAATTTTTTGATATTTGCAACCACAGTAAAACAAAGACTTACATTTTTGATATTTATTTTATATATTTAAATGCCATTTAACAAAGAAAAATCAACCAAAAAAATGAGTTTGTGTGTCACCTCTGACACGCGTGTCACAGGTTCGCCATCACTGGTGTAGAGGGACAAGAGTGCTCTAGAGAAGGATGGTAGTGATGGTTGCACAACAGTGTGAATGTACTTAACGCCACTGAGCAGTACACTTTGAATGGAGCAAAAAGGGGGCTGTGTAAAGACCTGTGGCCCAGGTCACAGCAGGCATCACGTCCTAGGCCTATGGCTTCCTTCCAGGAAATTAATCTTTACCTCAAGGGAGCCCTGCCCCGTGTTCTTACGCATCTAGGATAGCATAACTTTGAAATGTCAGAGTCATTTTCTTTTCCTACCCTTGAAGGCACAGCCCCAGGCGCCAGATCACTAGACCACAGAGCACTTCCTTGTCATCTTGTTCCCCGCATTCCATCTCCATGTGCTGTAAATGCTCACTGTCACTCACCCTGTACCCACCAGTGTGAAAGAAGTATGTGTCTAATTTGCAGTCTATCCAATCAATCCTAGAGGTTTCCCCGCTTTGCTTTCTCCTGCCTCTACCACCAAGGGAGTCCATGCACCTTCCTTACGTGTTCTCCTTTGATTCTAGGTGCATAACAAGGTCTGCAAAATGGGCATTCCCGGGAGCATTTTCTCAATCCCTTGAGACCTTGCTTCCGGGCATGTCCTCAAAATTTGGCTCAAATAAACTCATAACCCTTTTCTTTGCTGACCCTGGTTAAATTGGTTACATTTTGTCATGTATATGTTACGATGCTAAATAAATAAACTAGCTGCTTAAGTAAGCTTCTGTACAACAAAATCCCTCCTTTTCCATCCCTCTGGGAACCAGCAGACTCTTGGCCACCTTGCAGTTCCCTTGCCAGCAAGGCAATACGCCTGGTGTATGTGCAACACCAGCATTTTTCTAACATCTCTTTAGAGAAAGGACTAAAAGACAGATGTTCACTAATATTCATTCTGGGTTCTGGTAGAGACCATGCTAGTAGCGTCACATCTTCTAGGATTTGGGATGGTTTGTGTTACATTTCCTCAGAGTGTGGAGCAAACTTGTACCACAGTTCACTAAGGGCTCTGGAGTGTCTCCATCCCGGGCCAGTGAGGGGGAGACGTCTGTCCCCCATGTGTGGCCTGAAGTGTCCTCGGGACCCAGGCGCTATCAAAAAGACCAGATTGGTTGAGCACTGTCCCGTGCACCGAAGCGTTGCCAATTCGGTTGCCGGTCAGGACACATACCCAGGTTGTGGGTTTAATCCCCCGGCGGGGAGCGTTTGGAAGGCAACTGATGGATGTTTCTCTCTCACGCAGTCTCTGTGTCTGTCTCTGTCTGTCTGTCTCTCTTTCTCTTGCTCGCTGTCTCTCTCTCTCTCTCTCTGCACATACCCAGGTTGTGGGTTTAATCCCCGGCGGGGAGCATTTGGAAGGCAATTGATGGATGTTTCTCTCTCACACAGTCTCTGTGTCTGTCTCTGTCTGTCTCTCTCTTTCTCTTGCTCGCTGTCTCTCTCTCTCTCACTGTCTCTCTCTCCCTTCCTCTCTCTAAGCATGTACTCAAGTGAGGATTTAAAAAAAAAAAAGATAGTGGGTATAGAGGACCTGCGTATCCACGTGACACTGGTGATCAGAGTGACCTGTCCTTCATGGGAACACCAAGGCCGCAGAGTGGAGAGACTCGCTTGAGCAATTCCTCTCAGGGGGCCTGCCCTGAAACTGGGTCCCCAGAGTCCCTGAGGGGTCAGCCTGGGGAGCGGGAGGCAGGCGGGCAGAGGAGCAGAGGGAGCAGCAGGCCTGGTCATCAGCCGCACACACAGCAGAGCCAGGCCTCCTCGGCCTCCCTTTCTGGCGCCCAGCCCGCCCAGCCGCCCCCCTCCCCCAGGAGAATTCCAGGAAGAGGGGCGGGAACAATGGCAGGAAATGCAGAAGGAAGGGCAGGCCCCACCCCTGCCAGCCCAGGCACCTCTGGCCACGAAGGACAGCTTGTTATTTCCTCCCTTAAATGTCTTTCTGGGCTATGAAACACCCCACCTGCCACCCCTGCCATAGACCCTGGAAGTCCCCCT